AGCACGATGCTCTCCAGTTCAGTTGGAGATACCTGCATACAGACAATATGAAACAACAATAAGTACACATGCCGGTACTTTAACCATAAACATACAAAGTGCAAGTAGCCATTGAAACTTATTTACTCTGCTTATATTATTACGGATATAATAAAATGGTCCCAAACTAGACCATAACTAAGGGTAGTTCCGAAAAGGAACACTGGAGAGCATCATAAGATACACATATTATCATAAATATGACAGTGAAGCCAGAAGCCTTTCAGAAATAAAGGCCTTGAGTTCCTACACAAGAAATGTTAGTAACAGTATGGACCAGCCAAACCCACGGTGTGACAAGATCATTTGCATCGGACAGCATAAAGTTGATTGGAAAAATGAACCTGGATACTTTGTTCCTTCAAAATTGTATCTATCTTGAAGTCTACATGGTATCGCTACCCAGAAGACGAACGTCGAATTTCAGAATTATTTGCATCAGTCTGTTTGTAGTACCCAGATAATAGTGATTGTTTTGGCAAGACAGTTTAAGCAGAAGTAATAAATAACTAAAGTTGCCATTGGAAGAGTTTTGTTAATGGACTGATTCTGAAGCTGATTACATTTTGTATCATGCTATAATAATAAAGAGATTAATTCAAATGTAATTTCATGTCAGATTTCGGTTTTCATCATATCTGTTTGCCGTCATTGGCATAATATAATTTAAATATTTGAATGTAAGATTTAAATGATTCATTCGACAATTATATTTTGCTATCGATAATCCGGGTCATTCGATACGAAGGTTATCGATGTTCGATAGTGTTCATTACAACATTTTCTCGAAATTACGTCACTTCTCTTTGTGCAATGAATAAGTACAATAAAGTCATTGTCTGAGAAGACTGTGGTAGAGAGCTATGGCAATACATATAACTTTATAAAATATAATGTTCCTTCTAGTCAAGTAATTATTTATTTAGTTTCTGAAATCTTTGAACACACAGTGCTACCACTACAATCATGTCGCACTTGTGAGTAAAGATTGGTGCCCTACCTTTAAAATATATATTTCACTCCATAATTATTAAGACCTAGACGTTATTAGTAGTTAACAAGAACCATGTTAATTCAAATTATACATTAATTGGGATCGCAAATAGGAATATTATTTGATGCTATATGGACTGATCTCATACTAACTATTGGCAATCGTGTATGACGATGTGATGCGATATCGCAGTGGTTTGCGTCGATCGGCAGTGGTATGTTGATATTATCTGTGGGTTTTGGGTAGTCGTGGTGGTGGTGGTGGTGCTGTTTAGTGTTGGAAAAGTTTAGCTGCTGTAGCGGAAATTGTAAAAATGGAGAATCCAGAAGAGGTGTTGCAGTCATTAGATGAGTTTTCGAAACTGAAGCCGAAAGATATACCTAGAGAATTGGAAGATTATTTGTCGTACGTAGCCAGGACAGGAGATCCTGTATATCAGTGGTCGATAGTGAAATGCTTGTTTCGAGAGAAACTTTTGAATGTTATTACAGATTTCTATGAAACCAGCCCTACGATAGACTTGCAACCTTGCCCAAATGTTGACCCCTTCAATTATGATACTATGAAGAACAGTTTGTTGGAACGTCTCGATTCATTTCCTAGTGCTCCATTCACAGTGCAAAGACTGTGTGAATTATTAACTTCCCCAAGGAAAGAGTATAGAAGGGCTGATAAGTTTATGAGAGCTATTGAGAAAAATATTTTAGTTGTTAGTACAAGAGAACCCGGAAATGGAAGACGATCTGATAATAATGGCCAGCCAGAACTGTTAATGAATGGGGTTATGGATGGTCGAGGCATCGAATTGGGTGAAGCTATTGAAACAGTGAGCAGTGATGGTGTAAATCTAATGCATTCAGACGAAAATGAAGTTAATGTTACTGAGAATGAAAATGTTGTTCCTGTAGAATGTGCAGGAATGGAGGAAATTGACATGGAAGAGCATGGTGATCACATTGAAGCTTCAAATTCAAATGTCTGGGAAAAGGAACAGTCTGAGGTTTCAGAACAGAGTGAAGGAGATGGGAGCTTGAACTATGATGGTAATAGTGTGGAAGGTGAGAACAAATCCAAAGAAAGTTTAGAATGTTTTGAAGTCAGCAGTACAGAAAATGGTGAAAGTGGTTGTGATTCTGCTGATGTGCCAGTTACCACAGAAAATGTAGCAGATTCTGTTTCTGTGGTTGTTTCTGGAGAATCTCCTCCTGAACTAGATGCTTGTTCATCAAGTAGCAAGGAGCATTTAGATAAAACTGAGGAAAATAGTGATGTGAAAATAGACAGCCCTAGATCCGAATTAAACTTAACATCTGAAAATTCAGCAGTGGAAGATGAGGTTCCAAAACAAACAAATGAGGAAACTGCAGGAAATTTTCCTCCTGAAGAGACTGAGACAACAAGTACATCTTCAGAGCAGGAGTTACAAGGCATTTCATCATCAGCTGAAGATTTATCTAAAGGTGGCACTAATATTGAAACAGTACCAGCTGGTGGAGACTCCAGTGATGAGACAAGTACTGGAAATGTTACGCCAGAGACAGTGAGTTCAGAACCTGCTACTTCGTCAATAGAAACCACTTGCGCAACTGATTCTACAGCCACAGAGCTTCCTTTTGAGGAGACGTCTGCAAACAGTGTCAATACAGACACAGATGTGAGTGCAGCTGAAGAGACTAGTACAGAAGATGTAACTGACAGTGCCCTTGTTCCCAGTGATACTGTATCTACAGATGCAAGTGAAAACGACAAAGTGTACGAGGCTGCTAGTTCCAGCCCACCAGCAGAAGGAGTTACTTATGAAGACGTCTCAGAAAATGATGTTGACAGTAAGACAGGTGAGAGTGCCGTGGTGTCTCAGCAGGATGAGGCAATGGAGATTGACGACAGCAATGCCAGAAGTCAGCTTGTCACTGCTGACACAGACGAGCCAATGGATCAGTGTGAGCAACCGACTGAGAACTAATCTGATAATCCACATGATATAAATGTAAGTGTAACAATTTTTCTTATTGAGATACAGATTCGGTAGTGATGTCAGATTTTGAACTTTGATGAGTATCTGTAAGCGAGGTTTGTTCAAAACAGTAGCAAGAGAATTGTCAGGCATTGAATTATGTTTAGTTAGAGGACAGGGGGTCATGTGAGGCAATGAACTTTGTACTGAGTGAATTTTGTACTGTTTACTGAATATTAATAGGTGGTGGAATCAACAAAGATGAGCTGTATGGGTCATGTTGTGTGTGTTGTGCACAAGAAATGCGTTAGTCACAAAATTTACAGGGAACAGACCACTTGGCAGGCCAAAATGCTGTCTTTGAGCATCTCACCATCATTGAATGCTGCAAACAAGTGATTGAAACCATCAGTATCTTTCACATTTGATGTAGCATATTAATCTAGTCTTGAGTCTTTTAATTTATATTCATCACAATTGGTATAAAATACATTAAGTAATTTCACTGTTCCATCCTCATTTCTGTTTGAACTTAACTCTGTTAAGTGCACCGCAAGGCACTTTGTGTCAGGGCCAAATTGAAGCTACTCTGTTGACTTAACATGGCATCTGTGACTTGCATTTTTCATTTATGAGTTACAGTTTTTTCAAATTATGTTTTGCTTGTTATGTCCCTATGTCTATAATGCTTCAAATACATTTTCTTTTCCACAATTCTGATATGTCTCTATCCAGGAATTATGTACAAGTCCTGAAAGGGACACAGTTCTATAATGTATCCCTGTTGGTCTAGACATGTGCCATTTGGAACACACAATTTCTCTTTTCCTCTAGCCCTGGTCCTGTGAATATCCAGGCAAGTCTGCTGCCGTTTTTGTGTACCTGAAGATGTAGTCTTGTGATTTGTCTGAAATATTGGCAGAGCAGTGTGCTACAGCATTGCATATAAGTGTAAAGGAACTGTATTTATCACCAGTTAATTGGATTTCATCATTTCAGCTCATCCATTAAGTTGAAACTGAGGTTCTGTGACCACAACTTTTAATATATTTCTTGCTTCCCTGTGTGTAATATGTATTTCTTCTGTCGTATCCTTCTGCATTTAATTAGTGCAATAAAGTTAGGCAAGGAATACAAAATATTTAGTTCCTTAATGTGTAATATTCTGTATTACTTCAGTTTTCACGTGCCATTGTTTTCTTTTCAAACACCTCCAGAGTCTGCTGTTCCCATAGAACAAGTGGCTACGTTTCACACCCATTGAAAATAATACACAAAATTATAATTTTGTATATTTTAATATGTAGGTTCTTTATAGAAAGAAGATAGGATATTTTGAAGTGAATGCTAGCGTGTGAGATTAAAGGTTCTCACAGCAGTGAAGATGCTGATCATAGTCTTCTGGAATGTGACCCCGTTACCCTGAAGATGGGGGCAGTATGTTTCTCTGAAACATTGGTAACCCCGTGTAATATACTGCAAGGCATCACAACCCAGAAGATCTCATTTGCCAGTGGTAGCATGCATTGCAGTTATTTTCAGGGATTTATTATTGATGTAATCCTCTTCATTTAACAGGTAGCGCAAGCAGCTGATATGCGTCTAGGCCACAGAGCGTTAAAGACAAACCCAGCAGAAACTGCCGTCTTATCAGCCAGTATCATCAGAGAAGCAATTGGTCCATTCTGATTTGGTTTAATGTTGTAGTTAAACTAAATGTCATAATTATGCATTGAACATTGTGGTATAGAATTTTGTACGATGTTTGGTTTTGAAAGTGCCGTTTGCCATGTGGTCTATTTGTTACGTATTCATCAGGATTGTCTGAACCTGGGGCAGAACATGGCAGGGTTTCACTTTTCGTATTTATACACCATAAAAATGTGTATTTTCTTAAGAAAATCTCAAGATAGGACAGACGTGACATACGAAACACTTCAGCTCTGCCAAAAGGTCTGTTTATTGTCAATGTACTTGGTGGACTGAATGTCTTGCTGTTGGAAATGTTATTTAAGCATAATAATTTTGTAGCTGTGTGGACAAAATTTGAGAACATGCCGTCGCATAATTGCCTTAGTGGGGGCTATGCTGCTAGAAAAATATATAATTTTTCACTACAACTACCTGGTTGATTTAACTCACACTCTGTTTCTTTGCCTTTGTAAGAATGCAGGTTGAATGGAGTAGTGCTCACACTGCCTCAGTTTCTGTACGTATGATCTGATCTTTTGATCTTTGTGAAATTGCTGTTTTAAAATATCAAAGTAATTAAGAAGTTTGCTTAGCCAAGATGTCTTTCTTTATTGTTATTATTCAGTAACCACATTGTGCCATCTCACATCTAGAGGTCTCATGCAGTGAATCTGCCTGTTTGGAGCCAACTGTATGATTGACATCACTTCTAGAGGCATAATTACATTAGTTAGATTCATTTTTCAGAGTTTAAATTTCACTATTTTCTTTTTACTTTATCTGAGTTTTGGAAACTACTTCATGACTCATTCTTGTTCTGCATAGGACAGCTGTAGATCTATTACAGTTTTAAACCAGTGAGACTGTAATCTTACCTTTTGGTTATGTTTACATTTATTCATCCTGTTGAAATTTGGATTGTATTTTCTTTGTTATTAGGAACTGTAATATGGAGCTTCCAATCTGTGTAGGGTGTTAGTAGGCATGTGATGCTTTTTTATCTTATGACTGGCCAGTGTGAAGATGTTGAGTCTCGACACTGAATTTAGACTGCTTTAGAAGCTAGGCATTTATGCCCCCCTCCCAATGTTTATAAAATAATTATTTTATTCAAATGATTGACCAAGTCACTTGACAAACTGTAACGTAATGTTGATCAGGAAGGGGAGATTTCTTAGTTTATTGCAGGAAAGCGAATTATAAAGTAGTCTTGAAATCTACAAGTTATATAGTAGCATGATAAATGTGCAACGTATGAAACTAAGTATCTGCATTTAATTGTGTATTTTAATTGTCTGAATACAAACATGTTTATTGTCGCAAAGTATTGGTATGAAGGACAGGTGGCGTTTGTTAATGCTGCCTTGGTGGTGCGTGTTTGTTTGTATTTTTTGGGGTGTAAGTTCTTTACAGTGAAGGTTAATGCAGCCTCACTGTGAATTTATGTTTTGATTTAGGTCATGTTACTGATTTTGATGTCAGAAGGAAAAAACACTGCCACATAATCATCATCATCATACTGTTTCTTAATTTGTCTGTGTTTCTCTTTAAACTAATTGAGGTATTTGCTGCCCGTCGGTTCATATTGGATTTCTGTCAAAGGACAACAAAGACTGATTCATTTTAAAATTACAGGCACTGTATTTCACAGGTTAATAAATTCTGTTCAGAGAAATTTATGTGGTTTCATTGTGTCCAGAGTAATCAATTTGTAATCTTCATGTGGAAATGAGAAATTTGAAAAGTATATTTTTATTGTTTTATTCCACATTACTGCAAGATTATTTCCTAGATTACTTTTTAACTTTGCAACATTTTAAATTTTTGTTAAACGCAAAACATGTGATGGAAAGAGGCAAATAAGCGAAGGTGCGAAGATGAATGTCTTTTGGGATGTTGTACCATGCAGTCTGATTGACACAAACCAAATGCTGAACGTTGTGACATACCTGGTTTCCCTTGACTTTGATGAGTTCCTTGGTGCGGTCGACAATGTAAAAGTACTCATCTTCGTCATAATAAGCAACATCACCCGTGTGCAGCCACCCGTCTGGGTCAATTGTCTCTTGGGTTGCTTCGTCATTGTTGAGGTAACCCAGCATCACCTGATATCACAGTCAGGGCAAAGTTTTATACTGTGTACAATCAGTTGTAACGTACATTGTAAACTTACCAAGAGTGTAAAATGAAGATAGTGCAATATAAAATCTGTCCTTTGAATTCCTGTCATGTGGTGGGAAGGAAATGTAGTTCCAGAGATTGGGGTAAGTTTCTTCAAGCACAGTTTTTAAGTTGGCTTGATTTGTTTAATGTTTTGATTGGTGAGAGTCACACTGCACAGCAATCTTTGTTTAAAAAATGTTTCCTGTGTTAGAATAGAGTAGAGTCCTGATCATCTGACCTTCGGTTATCTGTCGTTCATCCCGTTTTATCGACATGCTATGGTAGAACGCTCCATTTTATCAACTATCAACTCTGCATATAGCAGAATGAATTGCATTCTGCCACCACACACTGCTAAATATTATCTTTTGTGAGATTTTTTTCATTTGATGTCATATTGTATTTTCTTCACAATTGAATAATATTATAAATTTATATTTACAATTTCATAAGTCTTCTGTGCTATTCGACCGTCCTTTCAGACATCCCGTTTAGGTCAGATAATTGGGACTCTACTGTATTTCCATAACAGCATGCCATTTCTACTGTGGAAGAGCCAAATGTCACTACTTTTATCTGTTGAGATATGACAGGACCCATTTCCTTCACAGATCGACTAATTCCGTGGAGCCGAGTCCTAGAGAAGCTGACACGCTCCATTGAGTTTTTGCTGTGTTCCAGAGAGCCTGTCCTGTCCTGAGCAAGGTGAATCCAGTCTACACCCTCACATCCTTTTTATTTAAGACAATTTTAATATTATTCCATGATCTTTGCCTAGGTCTCACAACTGGTCTTGTCATTTTAGTTTTTGTGAATTAATGTGCACGTTTCTTAACATTCTCCCCATGCATGGTACATGCATAGTCAGTCTTGGCTTGTTTGCTAAGCATGAAGCACGCTTACCTGTGGTCCTCGGATCAACAGCTCTCCTGACTCGTGAGGCCCTAGTGACTGCCCTGTTGTGAGGTCCACAACTTTGGCTTGTGTCTCGGGCACAATTTGCCCACATGAACCCATCTTGCTTAGTGGGGCATGCTTTGAAGGGAAGATCGTAACGGGAGCTGATTCTGTCATGCCATATCCTGCAATGCAGATTTATAATAGTTGTTAATGCTCATTTTGTGGCAGGGTAAGGGACTTCCATAATATACGGCATTCTAATTGTTAAAATAACAGGAAAAGGGTTATAATTAGTGAGATTTGAGGTTCTTAGAGTGAAGAGTGTGAAGATATCTGTCCTCTGGGTTGTAGCACCATGTAGTCTGGCAGATATTGACCATTTTTTCATGGGAGCTTACTGTTTCTGTCGTAATTACTCACCCTGATGATGGATGCAGTAAGCTCCTCTGACATGTAATTTTCTATCGGACTACCATCTTTCTATGGTTATCCCTTACAAAATAAGGAAATTAGAGTCACGATTATTGAATTCAAGAAATGGTTACAAAATATAACCAATTTTAATTTACGTTAAGAGAAATGTTAACAATAATAAAATAAATTGTCATTGTAAACAACATAGGTCTCCTCTTTTCTGAACATTTTCAGTTTTCAGGTGTTTTTCACATTCTAGCAGGAGCGAAGAACACCTTATGGGCCTGTCATGTGTTTTTCCCATCAGGGTTGTCAGTCACTCATCACCCTGATATTGGAGGCAGCAAGTACCTCTGTAAATTCTGTCAGTTTCTACCAAACTCCATGGCGCAACGTCATAGAGAAAGTCATTTTCGTACTCGCTGCCAAGAGAAACTGAAGTCTCATTTTATGCATATAGCACCTACTGACCTTGGCGGATATTGATGTCTCTATCGACTTTGGACTTGAACTTGTCAATGAGGTTTTTTGTCGCTGGAGCAGCTCCACACACGACGTGCTTGATAGAGGACAGGTGTTCCCTTGTTACACTGGGATGCGATGCCAGGAATAGCATCAGAGAAGGCACAACAAACAGGATCGTTGGCTGTAACACACCCCCCGAAGCACATTGTAAGTTACTTGAACAGTATGTGGACAGGATTATCTGACTTTTACCTTTGACGTCACTTAGCCATTTCAGCCTCAGACTTAAAAAAAACGTTTTTACGCATCAAGACAGAAATGTGAACATGTCGGCAGGACTTAGGAGAGGAACTTCTTCAATGAGAAATTTATGTTTGAACTTTACTGTAATGTTTTGTTGCCCAGAACTAAGGACAAACTTCACAGTTTTGTCCGTGTTTTGACGTAAGTTCTCATGCCGAGGCAGCCGTGTAATTCTGAATCATTACCTTGAATTTTATGACACATCCAATGTAGTCCTCTGGTGTAAATTTTGGGATGGAAACTATGTGCATGCCATACAGTATCGTCGGGTTCAGTATGCCATTGAAACCGTAGATATGAAAGTACGGCAGGACACTCAGCGCCACTTCCTGAGTTGTCTCTGTAACAACAGAGTTTGTTTACATTTAGTCTGATACTCGGTCATTGTACTCTGGCAGAAACTGGGTTGTAGTGATACAAGGGTGGTACCCCATGCTTTTTTTTAGTTCTTGCACGCTGCCATGGCATTTATAAGGACAGCGGAGTCAGACATAGGCAGCGAAGTGTTAGAGCAAGATAGCTGTCAGCCCCCTGCTCAGAAAGAATATAAGATATGGTGTACAACCTTCTGTAAACTTTAAACAAAATATAGTATAAAATCATAATTCATGGCTTGCTTAATTTCAGGCCTTTCTGGTTGAGATTAAAGTGTCAGGTCATCTTTATGCCAAGATGCACAGTGAGTAACGCTTTACCTCCAGTCCCCCTGTGTAGTGCTGGTGTGTTTTAGTGACAAGCCAAGGTTCACGTCTCATGGAGCCTCATCTCTGCTGTTGAAGCCTCACCTGTGGTGGGTACATGAAGCAAGATATCTGGGTGACTGATCTGTTGCAGGTTTGCCACCAGGTTCCTGTGGGACAGCTTTACGCCTTTGGGCAGTCCCGTTGTGCCGCTAGAGTAGGGCAGAAGCGCCACGTCTCCAGGTGACAACTTGGGGATGTCTGCATCCACAGATTCACTCAACAGCCGCTGGAAAGACAGCACGGTGCCATCTGCCTGCAGCTCGCCACCCACCGCTATGGTCCACTTGTAATCCGGGAGACTTCGCCCGACCTGCGCCATGACAGGCAGCAACTGGGGGATCGTGACGCTCGCCCTCACCCCGGCGTTCATGAACTGGCGTCCGATCTCATCTGCGCAGCAAATGGAAGGTGTAAGGAAGGAAGTGGCCGTGGTATCCTCTGATCGCTTTAGTGCCGACGTTGATAATGTATGGAGCTAGACCTCCACTTTCCAACTTTGAGAAACAAATTGTTGGCTATGAAGGTTCCCAGGTAGTGCTCATTCGTTCTTGTGGTAAAGATGGGTTGTGGAGGAGATAAAGCGACGAGAAGTTGCACTTAATTAAATCTGAATTTTGAATTTTTAAATCAACCTTCGGTGGGCGACACGAGAGACACGCAGTGCGACGTGGAATTTGGGTACCATCTCACCTGGAGTGTACAGTGGGTTTGCGAAGGTGACGATGATGCCGGCCTCAATGGCTCCGTGGATCGCTATGACGAACTCTGGCATGTTGGGAAGCAGCAGCCCCAGAACGTCACCCTGTCGAAGCCCCACAGCCCCGAGCAGAGCGTTCGCGAATCGACGGCAGAGAGCGCGCGTCTCGCCGTGGCTGTAGGATCGACCGCTGGACCCGCATGTCTGAAACAGGAAGTGGTCGTGGCCTGTCATAAACAGTTTGTCGACTCGTTAATCGAACCAGTTGTACCAACCTCCCACAATTTTATGCCCCCATGAATGTTTGAAATGTCGTAGTACAGGTCAATGTCTGAGGGCAGACACCCGGGGCCATCTGATACATTTTCTATGCCCTCCACCCCAGTTCACTGACGATGAAGACGCAGTCTAGGTTTCTAGAAGTCGTAATATTATACTTTTACAATTAGACTCTGGGCAGTTTCAAAAATAACAGTTTTATAACCATGTTTAGATGTGATTAACGACTGAACCTTCAAGTACGGTATAATTGCCTTCACTGCTCGTATAAAGTCTCTGAAAAATATCTGCTAGATGAAAAGTGATGACGTCTTCATCCAACCTTACCGTCATGACGGGGTCAGATGGGTTTAAAGTCGACTTAAATTCGTTCGTTATTTGCGTCTATCATCAGCACATAGAAAAAAATAAAAGCGAAATGTAAAAAGCCGTACCTTATTGGCCCGTCCGTCGCGGTTTTACCCACAGGGGTAGGCAACCTGCTTGGCCGGGGTTGTCATTGTTGCGGTAATCACGTTAGGGCAAGAAAGTTCTAAGTCGCAAAAACGACCTACGTGATGTGGCGCTAGAGACAGCTTTCGGATGTCAGTGTGGGTTATGTGTCGACTTGATGAACATATTGCCTCCATCTTGAGGAAAACTCCACTGTGTTTATGTAAACAGGCGTACCAATATCTGATAAATATTTTTTTGCAAAACAGAACCTAAGCGTTCTGCTTCATATACACTCTGGGCACAGGCGACCGTAGTGACGCAACACTCGATAACAGCGTTGTACAGGAAGTTCCATTTAAAACACAAACCAGCAACAATCGTGTGCTTTGGCACAAGAATGAAATCAGAAGCAAGTCCACACCCCTATTTAATAAACTAGAGCAGGGCGCTCCTTTCGGAGCTCCTAGCTGGGGTTGGTCATGTTTGTAAACGCAACCAACCTTGGTTAGTCCCAAAGAGGAGTTAGTTTAGTGTTTAACCCCTGAGTAAGAAACTAAACTAACCCCCCC